CCTTGGGGTTTCTCAAGGCGCGATCAGCTCCGTGCTGGTTCGTGAAGAGGAAGGCACTCAACGTCCCGTCTACTATGTAAGCAAAACCCTCCAGAATGCCGAACTCCGGTACACCCCGCTCGAAAAGACGATCTATGCCGCTTACATCACCGCGAAGAAGTTGACACACTACTTCCAGGCGCATCCAATCCGAATCCTGTCGGAACAACCTCTAGGGGCAGCCCTGAGGGCGCCCGGCACAGCGCGGGTGGTGAAGTGGTCGATGCTCCTCAGTCAGTACGAGGTCGACTTCCATCCTCGGACGTCCATCAAGGGCCAAGCTTTGGCCGATTTCATCGTGGAGTGCACAGCCCGAGAGGTGACAGAGAAACAACAGGAGAGTAATGAGCAGTGGTGGACCTTAGCAACAGACGGGTCGGCCGGAGCAAAAGGATGTGGGGGCGGAATCGTCCTCATCTCCCCTGAGGGATTCCGGGCCTACTATGCCTACCGTTATCTTTTCAAAGTCTCCAACAATGAGGTGGAGTACGAGGCCCTATTGTCCGGACTGCGGCTAGCGGCCGCCATGGGGGCAGAATGGATAACGGTCAAATGTGACTCTCGGTTGGTCGTTTCCCAGGTTAAGGGTGAATTCGAAGCGAAGGAAGAAAGGATGACGAAGTACCGAGATGCGGTCCGGGAATTGCTCGGGCTGTTCAAGCAGGCAGAATTGGTTTGCGTCCCGAGAAACCAAAACTCGGACGCTGATCTCCTCTCGAAGCTATCCCAGGGGTTGCCCGAACACATTTCGAGAATTGCCCGCATTGAGGAGATGACAACTTCAAGCATAGCGGCCTCACCGTCCGTCAACGTCCTCCCCCTACAACCGGCCGCCTGGTGCTGGGTGGATGACCTCCTACGTTACATAGCCGATGGGACGTTGCCTGATAGAGAGGATGAAGCAAAGCTAGTCCGCCGACGAGCTCCGGGCTACGTCGTCTTGGACGGGAAGCTATACAAGAGGTCCTACAATGGGACGTTGCTAAAGTGTTTGCGCCCGCATGAAGCGGACATGATCGTCTCCGAACTCCATGGGGGCGTGTGCTCCGCCCACCAGGGGGCATGCACGATTGCCAGGAAGGTTGTTCTCCAGGGTTACTTCTGGCCGACGATAATGCGAGACTGTGCCGATTATGCAAGGAGGTGTGAGACATGTCAGAAGTTCCAGAAGAGCCCCGGCCGGCCAGCGACGATGTACACACCGATCAGCACCGCCCTCCCATTCACGAGATGGGGCGTCGACCTGGTCGGTCCCTTGCCAACCGGGTCGGGAAACCGGAAGTTTGTAATCGTCGCGGTGGACTACTTCACGAAGTGGGTCGAGGCTGAGCCGCTCGCCAGCATCACACATCTCCAGTGTAAGAAATTCATATGGAAGAATATTTTTTGCCGGTTCGGAGTTCCCCTCCAAATAATCTCCGACAACGGAAGGCAGTTTGACTGCGAAGCCTTCCGACAGTTCTGCGCAGAGTGGGGCGTAGAATCCAGCCGGGTGGCGGTTTGCTACCCTCAGGCAAATGGACAGGTGGAGAACACTAACCGGACGATCGTCGATGGGTTGCAAAAGAAGTTGGAGGCCCTCGGGACTGCCTGGGTGGAAGAGTTGAACAATATACTCTGGACCTTCAGAACAACCCCAAGGAAGGCAACCGGAGAGACCCCCTTCGCCTTGTGTTATGGATTTGAGGCAAGGGCACCGTTCGAGGCCGTAGTCCCCAGCCGACGAATGGAAGAGTTCGAACCAGCTAGCAATGAGGAGAGGCTCCGAGCCGAGCTCCACCTCATTGAGGAAAGGAGGGACCGGGCCTTCGTCAAAGCAGAAAACTATCGACGCCAAGTCAAGGCGTACCAGGACAGCCGAGCCCAGCCCTGGAGTTTTGACGTTGGCGATTACGTCTTGAGGCGTAGGAAGGCCAGCAAGCCGGCGGAGGGAGGCAAACTTTCCATCAAGTGGGAAGGCCCATACGTGATTGATGCTGTGGTCGGACCCGGGACATACAAATTGAAGACGACAACAGGCCGGCTGGTAGACCGTGTCTGGAACGCTGAGCATCTGATGAAGTTTTATCAGTAGAGAACTGAAGTGTCACCTTTTCTTTATGAACTCCTGTGCTCTGGGCACAGGATTACAATTTGTAATTCTTCATGTGGTCCGCCCACATTATGAATTCAATATACTTTACTAGCGATATTTTGCATTCAAAAGAGGTCCGACCTCACTTAGCAATTAAGGGCGGCGGCAAAAAAAAAAAAAAAAAAAAAAAAAAAAAAAAGCTACTATGCCCCCCCTCGGTGTTTGGCCGACCTCGGTCAGGCTCTTGAACTGAAAATGGCCCATCGATTTTCAAGAATCCAAGCAATTTTCTAAAGTAAAGAGCTAACCGCGACGGTTGAGGCGATAGTAGGGCCGATCCCCGGGTCGGGAGCGCCCAAGGTGCCGACCTCTGGGTCCCCCCTTTGAGTGCTCGCAACCCGACATCGCTGGCCAAGCAGCTCGCACTCTCGCCATCTCCGAGTTGGCGGTGCGGGTCCGTTCTGGTGGATCATGCAGGGTCCGCCCCTGTTGTTTGGCTAACCCCGCGGGAGTAACCAGATTATTCCCCAAGTCCGGGCGAACTGGACGGGTCAAGGCGATAGTAGGACTGACCCCCGGGTCACGAACGTCGGGGTGCCGACCTAAGTGTCCTCCTTGTAAGTTCAATGTCCGACCTTGCTGGCCGAACAAGTCGCATACTTGTTGATTCCATATCAACAGCGAACAGATCACTTCTATCTGACCAGGAGGGGCGTGGATAGGCTTGGCCACGCCAGCCTAATCGCCCCCTGGGAAGTTAGAGAAGCCGGATCCCCGATTAAATTGCTTAAGTATTCGCAACGCAAAGTATATGAAAAGAAATGTGTGAATTAATTAAACATTCAGTCAAAACACGTGTACAAGTGGAAGGCAAGGAAAATGCAAAATACAAAGTCATGGCAGGACATGCCCATCACCATTGGCCTCGGGAATCTCATCTAACATGGCAACCAAGTCTTGGCCGGACTCTTGAGCTCCCTCCTGCTGACCGGATGCAAGGGGGACCATGTCCTCCGAAGGTCTTGGAAAGAACCAGCACCATTCGTTCGAGTTACCGGACTCCTCCTCCTGGCGGTAGACTCCTGGGGGCAAGAGGGCTATTGCAGCCTCAGGTCTCTTCATGCGGGCAGGAAGACCTAGCACGGATGGATAGAAGTCAGGGCCGAGACCCTCCAACTGATCATACAATTTCTGCTGTGTCAGGTACTTGCCACTCTGAAAGGCGTACAGAACTTCACGAGCATGCCAGTACTCCCCCTCGTCAGTCTTCAGCCACTTATTTACTAAGTCAGATTCCTTCGCTTCCACTCTGTCAGATATGGTTTTCTGGAATTCGTCGGAGGCCTTGAACTCGAGAATCGCCTTCTTGGCCACTTCTTCACGCTCTCTTGCATGCAAAAGTTGTAACTCGGAGAAGGCTTTCTCCCTAGCCTGTAGGGCGGCTCTAACTTCATCAACCTCACGCTGGAGCTTTGCTTGAGAATGGTTGGCTGCCCAAAGTGCCCCAATGGTCTTAGCAAGTCCCTGCAAAACAAAACAAACAAAATATGATGGAATCGAGGGATAAAACAGAGTATGCCAGAGATGTGATCGGCCACTCACATCAACATGGGTCCGAATGGAATCCTCCAGGAGAGGCTGAAACCCCTGTGAGGTCATACGTGCAAGGTCACCCGGCGGTAAGATCGCTGAGGCATAGTCCACAACCGGGAAGCCCTCGTGCATGATCGAGGCACCCGGAGATGGGAATGTGTAAGCAACTGTGTGCTGAGTGTCGCAGCTAACCCGCTCAGCCATCCTCTCACCAGCATCTTCATGCACCTGCCCGGTGGATTGGAATTCCGGGGTGACAGTCGCCCCCTCCAAAACATGCCCCTCTCGGCCCGGGGGGGCTCCGTGCCCTTTCCCCGCAGCGACCCGGGGGAGCACAGGAGCAGTGGCTACATGAGGCTCCACCTCCTCGTCATCAGACTCATCCAATTCGACCAGTAAGTCGACAATATCCCTCTTCTGCTTCTTCTTCGCTGGTGCGACAGGCTGAGGCCCAAAGGTAACCCTCACCCTCCTCGGAATCTGTGCTACACGGTTTGGGGGAGCTCCACGCTCTTTTTCCTTGGTGGCTGTGGGAATTGCACGAGCGATGAATGGCTGGGCCTCTTCGTCATCGTCATCAGATTCGGCACCGACGATAAGTTTCTCAGGCCTATCAGGCACACCTGCGGAAGAAAAATGTGAGGATGAGAAAGGTGAAATACAGAGTAGCCAAACCTAAAGTGAGGGAGTGACGATCACCTAAGTATGAGCTGATGGAGCGGGGACCGCCTGCGGACAACATCTCGATGGATGACTTGAGGTCAGGGGAGAGGGCGACCCGATCACACTTCCGGAGTCGCTCACCCCACTGAAATGGAGGTGACAGAAGGGTGGGGTCGGATACCCAGATCCACCTCTTCTTCCATCGGCTACCTGAGTCCGGGTAACCCGGCCGAAATAGCTTGCTCACCGGCCTCTGGGAAACTGAGGCAAAAAAGCTGGAGGCGCGCCACTGGAAGCAGCTAAAAAACAAACTGATCGTGGGGGTGAGGCCCACATCCTCACATCGCGCCACAAAAGCTGCAACGAACATGTGAGCCGCCGGAGCCAGTTGGCCCGGTGCCACACCCAGGAAGTGAAGGAACCGAACCAGAAAAGGATGTAGAGGCACAGCCATCCCCAACTCTAGAGAGCGGATATGGACCCCGAAGTAACGGACTGGGGGGTCACTCAGTACCTCAGTAGCCTCCGGAGTTTTCAATGAACAGTTGGCACCGATCAGGCTGTAGGCAACGGCAAGGTTCTCGTCTTGGATATGAGGGGGGAGGTTCACTACCCCGCTATTATCAAGACCCCACCAAAGACTCGGATCCCCCCGAGCACCGGAATCATCGTCGGAATCTGACACGTCCACGTGTTGTGCCCGCACTCTACCTGGGACGCTCAGTTGCTGAGCCTCAGGAGTAGTAGTCCGCCTAGCTGGAACCGTCTCTGGGGGAACGTCAACCTGCTGCCCGGTAGCTTCCTCCGCATGCATACATGGTCGAGCACCGCGGCTAACCCGCACGAACCTCATGGCCGCCCCACGTTTTCCCTCGCTGATTGCCGGTAGTTCCAAGCCTGATGACTTGGGGAGGGGCTCGGCGTCAACCTGCATGGCTGAAGGAGAGGCTTGATCACTGGTTTCATAGAGAGAGCGCTCTGCGCCTCGCATGGTTTAGACCGAAAATGAGAAAACCTGCGTAAATAACAAACAAATTTAGAGGTTATTCAAACCCAGGAAGATCCACACGCAGGAGGCAGGATGAAGGACCCTGACATCTCATACCACCGGGGGCTTGCCCAGTGGATAGAAGTGGGGCCGCCGTCCCAGGGGGCTGCCCTGCTCATCACAGGCGGATGCATACCGGGCTCCTATTTGCGCGGCCGCCGAGCAAACCCACTCAGCCGCCACCTCGCCCGAGTGGAAGCAATGTAGCCGACCCGACACACAGGCCTAGGACTGCCAGCCGAAAGATAGGATGTGGGCTGACAGCACCCACCAGCCGATGGAAGGAAGAAGGACGGCCGCAGCCACCCCGGCCTTGCCGCCTGGAAAAAGAAGAACGCCGGGCGGCGGCCGGCCAACACGAACCTCGACGGACTGGAGCTCTGACCCTCCAGGGCGCGCCCAAGAGCCGGGAGTACGGGGCGGCGGGTACCTGACCGCCTAAAGGGGTCGCTGCACCGGCCAACAGGGGTGGCCGTCCACCTCCGGGGTGACGTCGGTCATCAGGGACACCAGACCCGCCGGGCTCCGGGGAAGCCGCCAGGCGACGGACAGCAGGCCCAGCTCGAACCCGCCTGTGGTTGTCAGGCTTGGGCTGGCTGCGGCGCTGGGTCGGCGGAGGGCGACGCGAGGAAGACGCACGCGGAAAACCAGGAAAGAGAAAAGGAAAAGGAAAGAAAAGGAAAGAAAGAGAAAGGAAAGAAAAGAAAAGAAAAGGAAAGAAAAGAAAGAAAAAAAGGAAAAAAGGAAAAAATGGGAAAATAAAGTAAAGTCCGAAAATAATATAAAATAATAATGTATTTCAGGAATTTTCGGAAGCTGACCTGGATTCTGAAGTCTGGGAGAGAGCTGACTGCTGGAATGCTGGGATGTTGAATAAATTAATTTGAAGCCTATTAAAGCTGAGAGCTTTATTTAAAATTGGAAAATTTCCATAAGTTGTGGGATTTTCAGAATCCACAATTATTACTCCTTGGTATGTGAACTTTTTTTAAATTGGCAGCTGACTTGGACTACTCCCTCTTAGCCGAGTCTACTACTCGACTAAGGGAGTGGGGGACTCGTGATGGGATTATGGGACTAGGCCCAATGCGTAATCGGCCCAGACGTGAACTTGGACCGGCAAGCCAAGACCCAAGCCCAAGCCGAGGACCATCATCTGGCCAGACAGGACAACCGGTGGACCCGGCAATTCGGATCTCCGATCGGCCCAACCAATCAGGCCTGTCGAGGAGCGGAAGTCTAGCAGAAGTCCAGCGGGAGCCTGCCGCCCCCGGGAGCCCGAACGACCAGCCTGCTGCCAGCCAGGCCGACCCGCCTGCCACGAACAGTAACGGCCAGGGGAATTAATGCACGACTTAATTATGTGTTTAATTTCGTATTAATGATGTAATTAATTTAGCCATTATTATTTGGCAGTTACCATTTGTAAACAGCCTATAAAAGGCAAGTCGTGATTCAAATACAGACAGGCTATTCTTGGCAACTAAAATTCCTGAGCAACTTTCCATTCTCGTATTACTTTCCTGATTCCTGCTTGAGTGTTCTTTCGTAGCTTTCCAAAAAGCCTACGAGCGTCCTATTTTGGACCAACAGCTAATAATAATAAGTTATAACCTTAATATGATAGTAATTAAATGAAGTATTACACAGTAAGCAAAAATTAGAAGAAGAGACAAATATATTGTTACACAATAAAAAAGTTAGTACCTTAGAATTGTGCCCGACGCTCCTTCAACGAGATAAATTCCTCAATGATGGCTTTTGAGTCAAAAGTTTTAGCAATTTCTCTTTCAATATAAACAACAAGGTTGTCTGCTAGATACTCGTCCTCCATTTTATTGTGAAGCCTTGTTTTTATAATTTTCATTGCTGAAAAAGCCCTTTCTGTTGTTGCTGTCGAAACCGGTAGAGTCAACAAAAGTTGGATCAATCTATCAATAAGAAAGTACACTTTTGACATCTCCGTCTCTGCTAATCCTTGACAAAGTTCACCTATTGTAGACAAATTAGCCAACTTTGGATGGTTTAGAACATTGAGCTTATAATGTTGCAATTGAAACCTCAAGCCCACCTTCTTCTGCTCAATAAAATCAAAGGGGTAATATTTATCCACTAAAGAACATATATCATCAATGTTAAAGGACTTATATATGAGTCCTTAGGATCCAAAGCACCGCTAAGAGTAAGAAGATCCATTATTTGTTCACTGAATCTGCTATTCAGCTCCAACAATTGTGAATCTATGGTTGCATAAAACATATCAACCCGATAGTGACGTTCAATATCAAACCCTTCTTGATCGTTGCGTTTGCGTTTTGCCACATAAGGAGACTTCATATTTGGAACTTCAATCTCATACTTTTTGCAAAACTCTAACAATTTCTAAGAAGTTATCCCATCCATCCTCCCTTAACTTTTGGATCAACATTTTGGTGGAACAAGGTGTGACAGTCTTCCTCGCAGACTCGCAGGTTTGCTGCTCCTCGGTTCTCGCCTTCTTCCTCGCACAGTCGCACGGCCTGACAGTCTTCTTCAATCGTCATTGACTTCATTCGTTCTTCTAATTTCTTTATTCTCTGACCTTTGTGGCTTTGTGCGTAGGTTCATTAAAGTGGCCAGTGGGGTGGGCTGGGATTCTTTTTCTTTTTTGAAAGGGGTGGGCTGGGATTCTTCAAAGAAACTTTGAGTGGGCTGGATAAAAAAGAGTATTTAAAGAAAAATATTATTTTAGAGTAGACTGGGCTGATATAAATTTTTGACTGGCCTGATCCGCTGATATAATATTACTTCTAGAATTCTATTTTTTAGACTCTTAAACAATTGAACCTCTGCGAGTGGGCTATGATTTGGGAGCGAAAATATTTATTGGGGGAGTTCAATTTTTTTTGGAGGGGCGAGAATTATTTGTTGGGGGGGTAAATTTATTTTTTATATATACATATATACTAAAAAAAAAATTGTTGGGGGGGCGACTGCCCCCCTGGGTCTGTACTACGATCCGCCCCTGATTATGTATATAGTATTCTTTCGATAAAATGATAATAATTATAATAATACTAAGTATAATACTCCGGATTAAATATCATTACTTTTTGGAAAATTCAAATAATTTTATGGAGTACCGAGTACGCACTATGTATATAGTATTCCCAATTCTTTCTAAAAACGTAGTATTCCCAATCCCAATTATAAATGTGTAATATCATCAATTTTTGTTGGTGTACACAAAAAATGCAATTAGTCTTGATAACCTACCCGGTGTACAAGTGTACAACCAAGAATGGTTCTCCCCTATGAAGCATGTATACTTCACTAGGGTGCAGTCAGCGGCGGACGCAGGAATTTCCGATAGCCGGGGCGGCAGTACAAAAATATACATACAAATACATATACATTAAAAATTTCGGGATAAATATACCAAGAATTTTTTTTGGGGAGGGGCAGCAGCCCCCCTTTGTCACCCCCTTGTGTCCGCCGCTGGGTGCAGTATCGGTATATCGGAAACATTCCCGTATATGATAATCTAGAATACCTGTATCGTGCGTTCACGGGCTGTATCTGCAATTTGTAAAAGTTTTCATTTTTTTTTGTAATTATTTTAAAATTTTGAATACTCGTATCCTGACGGATACGCGTATCAACTTTTAAAAAAAAAATCTTCCAGAAAAAACTTAAAAAAAACACTCATAATTTACATAATACATAGTAGAATTCTTAAAAAATGAAAAGCTAAAAATTATTTTTACCTTGCTTTTATGTGATACACAATTAATGGGCCTACTCCTAATTCTCCCATCCTCATATCCCTAATTCTAATTATCCCTGAAAATTAATAACTCCGTCGGAAATATGTATTAGAATTTTTAAAATATTGTTTTCTATCTTCATTATTCTAGAACTTTGAGTACTTGCACTTATAATTTCAAAAATGTAGTTGTTTGACTTATTTCTCATTTTAAATTAATGACTTATTGACTATATTTGTATTTCGAGGTGTACTAATGTATAAGAGATAAAATATGAACTTATTTCTAAGTATATTGAAAATGTAAAATGTTCCAATGCCATGAATGAGTAGACGTCAAATGATAATATATGTATATTTTTAAAAAAAAAAAGTATTTTTAATATTTAGAAATGCACCCTTGTTACTTTTAATATGTAACACCGTCCCCAAATGTATTTACTTTCAAGTAAATGATGTAATAAACCTTATATAATGATTTATGAATTTACGAAGTTGTAAATTTTTATTAATTCTTTCGCGTGAATAGTAAATTGCACGTGGGACCCACACCAAGAGCGGGGGCCGCCCGACATTCCCGAGACCATATGTTTTATTCATCTTGGTCTAGATAATATATATATAGTGGTGGATATTTCATTTGGGTCATGGAAAGGCCCGGAGTTGACCGATTGGTCAAAAGAAGCCCAAATTACCGGTACTGGTAATTTAACAGATAGCAGCCCGAACTGAATTTCGGAGGCTTATAAATTAAATTTGGGGAATGTATATTCATTATACATGTCATAATGAGTAAGAGCACGTAATATATTTTATTTGACCCGATGAAATAAAATATATTTAAAACAGCCCGAAAAATACAACTTTCGGGACCGATTGTACACACCGGGACACAAAGGGATGACCTCCCACATGAGTGGGGGCCACCCCACGTTTTTGTTGGCTGTGAGAGGAGGGAAGGCTGGCTGATTGGAGAGGAGGGGTGTGGGAGTGGTTGACTTGAGGGGATTGGCATCAAAAGGACACATGGGGGGTCCTTGCCATGTTATCATGGTGGAATAAGCCAAAAGGTGGCATTTCCTCTCACCTCCACCCCCATTTTCGACGAACCCCATCAAGAAAGGAGAAGGAAGCTCTCAAACCATCCTCCATAGCTGCAAAATTCGAGCTCAAGCATAAGTGCTCAAAGAAGGAAGATTAAAGAGGGAAAAAGTTGGGAAAGGTGTGAATAATTAAGGTAATGACCTTATTATAACTTCTCCTTTATTTTTCTTCTACCATATGAGGTATATATCATGTGAAGGACCCTTAGTATGGTTCCACATGTTATAAGTATGGATTTATGGGTAGGAAGGTGGTTCTATGTCCAAGAACGGACTTAGAGACCAAAACTACCGGTTCACCGGAAAATAACCTTTTAGAGGTTATTTGTATTAATATGAGTTTTATGATTATAAAACCTTGTTAGGCACTTGTAAAGGGTATTTCAAGTGATTTCCCAAAGTTGGAAAAGTCGCCGGAGTTGTCGCCGGAGTTGACCAAAAGTCACCGGAGTTTCACCGGAGTTCAACCAAGAAGGGTAGAACTTCTTAACGCTAGTTCAAGGTGAGTGGACGGCTTAATATCTTATAACTTTTGGGTTAATTATGAGATTACCTAAATAAATGTTATATGAGTTCATAATGATGTTTAAAAGATATTTAAACATGTGATTAGCCAATAGGGTTAAGTTTGTATGAAAGAAAGTAATTGTTGATGCATGGAATATGATATGAAGAATTATATGAAATGCATATTTGCTTGAAGTATATTAGAAGCACAAATGAATATTATTAACTTAATTACATGATGATTAAGTTGATACACACAAGGCATGAAATGGCGGTCAACGAAAACGTGGACCGAAGAACAAAGGATTTAATTAATACCGGTTGGTATTAGTTAATTATAAATCTATATGAATGCATGATTTGCATGGATTGTGATACATAAGATTTATGTATTGGATTAGTTATGAGTAACTAAGTATGATATAGACTCTATCTAGGTTGATAGGAGGTTGATCATAGGAAAAACTTGGTGGAGGACCCTAGTACCTAAAAGTACTTAACACTCAAACTTGGTGGAGGACCCTAGTACTTAAAAAGTACTTAACACTCAAAACTTGGTGGAGGACCCTAGTACTTAAAAGTACTTAACACTCAAACTTGGTGGAGGACCCTAGTACCTAAAAGTACTTAACACTCAAAACTTGGTGGAGGACCCTAGGACTTAAAGTCCTTAACACTCAAACTTGGTGGAGGACCCTAGTACTTAAAAGTACTTAACACTCAAAACTTGGTGGAGGACCCTAGTACTTAAAAGTACTTAACACTCAAAACTTGGTGGAGGACCCTAGGACTTATGAGTCCTTAACACTCACAAACCGGTGGAGTATCCAAGGATTATGATCCTAAAACTCATAGATTATGATATACAAATAGGGACAAGGAGGAGTCCTATACACTCATAGGTATATGGGTGGGTTGGGTTTTTTAGTCAAGAATATTGACTATTACTATATTTCCCAAATAAAATAGTGATCTACGGATCGGATATTTTCCAAGTATATATATACTAATAAGTATTTCATAACTTGGGGGAAAGACTATTTATTTAAGTATCACCCTATGTTTGGGTCTTATACTTGAAACGCTAGTTATTCTATATTTAGCCTGCTACTCGCTCGGTACTTGTACTGACCCCACCATTTTCAGGTTGAAGCTAGGGCTTGCTACTTGCACCTTCTCACGGGTGGTATCATATCGGGAAGACGTGGTTCGTGCTTCCTTATTTTCTTTCAAACTACCGAACACTTGCTCATGGATATTTGTTTTACTATAAACATTTTTGTGGCTTGCATGCCCATGTTGTTGGCCGGTTGTGGCTCATGACTTACCGTTGAATATTTCCGCTATTCATTGGTTGAAATGTGATGTTGTTATGTATGTTTACTACTGAGTATGGATGGATTGTTTTCTCGAACGCCTTGTGTAATTAAGTGAGGTTGACTCGTGGGTGACGTCACTTAGTTATACGGCGGTTGTACACGCGCTTGGATTTCGGTCTGGGGCGTGACATAATATTTATAAATACACCCACATAACTTTTAATATCCATAAATATGACCAGTATTTGTATGTGCTCTTGTCTTATCAGTTATCATAGTACCCGTTTCCGCTACATAGGTTCTCCCACCAAAGGATTGAGATCCTCTACCCGACTAGGAGGGTGCCTTGCGCATCGGACGGGAGGGGAGCGACCAACACAACCTCGAGATCGGCGAAAAAGTGGAGCCTAAGATCTCCGACCGTTGAATTGTTATCTCCGGCCTGTTTGGATTGAGTGTTGAAGAGTGTTAGTAATGGAAGTGTTAGTAAGTGTTGATGCTAACACTTGTTTGGGAGAAAAAACCAGAGGTGTTAAGAAGTGTTAGTAATGGTTAGGAAGTGTTAATAATAACCTTCCCAACACCTCAATTGTCCATTTTTTTAACACCCCAATTTGGAGTGTTTTGAGGTGTTGGACAATTATTACCCTTCTCATTTGCCTGAAAAACATAAAATGCTTCGACATTTCACTTCGAATGTCTTTCCCACGGGTCTGATAGTTTGTTTTTTCATCTCTTCTCTTTACTCTTTCTTTCCTTTTTCTTTAACACTTCCATTATTAACACTTCATTCATTTGACTCTCCCAAACAAAGTAAAATTATGTCTAACACTTACACTTCCTTTCCCTTCCGAGTCCTTACTAACACTTACTAATACTTCCATTACTAACACTTCCAAACAATCCATCCAAACAGGCCCTAAATTAAGAAGTAGATGTTCCGGATCCCCCACCAAAGGCCAACAGTGAAGGAACACCGGAAGAAGATGGCCATGTTCTTTATCATGTTGTTTGACAACCTTACCAGTGTCACCTTGATATGCGGTGATAAGCTTTAGGGGTCGACATTGCTCATCCAAAAACTGAGGGCGTAAATCATCCGAACGAAATACTTCGGTCTAAAAAATGCAGTTAAGGGAAAAAGAACCGACCACGATTGTTTTGCTTGACATGGAACCGGCCGGAGAGAAGAGCTAGTCGGAGATGGAGCTAGTCAATGAGTGTGACCAAATCCAATGAGTCGGCAGATAGCGGAGCTAGTCAGAGATGGAGTCTACAGAGACGCGCTCACACTCTACTCACAGCTCAACCATTCATCCCTTCGCAACGGATTCACCTTCCCCGCTCTTCTCAAAGCCTGCGTCAAGCTTGGAGACTTTCCTCAAGCCCAAATGCTCCAAACCCACATTTTAAAGTCTGGGTTTCAATCCGATACCCATACCGCCACATCCCTCACCCATCTGTACACTAAAGCCAGGAGCTTTGATTGCGCATTCAAGGTGTTTGGCGAAATTCCTCAGCCAACCATCGATTGTATGAACGGCTTCCTTTCTGGGATTTCTCAAAACGGGTACCATCAAGAGTCCTTTAGGATGTTTGGTTTGCTGGACTCTTGGAATCTCCGGCCGGATTCTGTCACCATAGCCGGGGTGCTGTCTGGCTGTGAGGATGCTAAGCTTGGCGCACAAATGCATAGCTGGGCTGTAAAGATAGGGGTTGAGATGTCTGTGTATGTCGGGACGTCTATTCTCACCATGTATTCCAATTCTGGTGATATAGTTTCAGCCACAAGGGTGTTTGGGCTGGTTGAGAACAAAAACGTGGTGTGCTACAATGCATATATGACTGGGTTATTGCATAATGGGGTGTATGGGGGTGTCTTATCTGTTTTTAAGGACATGATTGCATCATCAGATGAAGGAACCAATTCTGTTACAATAGTTTCTGCTCTTTCATCCTGTGCAGAACTCAATAATCTGAATGTCGGCCTGCAAATCCACGGGTCTGCTGTAAAAATTGAGACACATTGTACTACTAATAAAACCATGGTCTCCACCGCTTTAGTGGATATGTATTCCAAATGTGGTACTTGGAAATGTGCATTTTCTGTGTTTGAGGAACTTCATATTACCAAAAGGAGTTTGATCACTTGGAATGCTATGATTGGAGGAATGATGCTCAACGGCCAAATCGAGAAATCAATCGAACTATTTGAACAGTTGGAGACTAACGGGCTAAAGCCCGATTCATCAACGTGGAACACAATGATAATTGGGTTTTCACGTCATGACAAAGGCGATAATAAAGCTTTTAATTTCTTCAGAAAAATGGTGTCTTCTGGTGTGAAGCCAAATGAGAAATCATTGACCAGTCTCTTGACAGTCTGTTCTGCACTCTGTCTTCTACACTCCGGGAAGCAAATCCATGGATATTCCATACGGACAGGTTGCAGTAGTGACCTATTCCTCGCAACGGGTGTGATCGATTTGTATATGAAATGTGGGAAAGTCTCAATGGGTGAAAGTATTTTTGAGGAGATTGAAAACAAGAACTATGATGCGACTCTATGGAATGTTATGATCTCTGGCTATGGAATAAATAACAAAAATGAAGCTGCTTTTGAAATGTTCGACCGGATGTTACAGGAGAAAGTAAACCCAAGCAGGGCAACTTTCAATTGCATTTTATCTGTGTGCAGTCATTCCGGTCAAACGGTCAAAGGGTGGCAAATCCTTAAACTGATGATTGCTGATTTTGGGTTGACCCCAAGTCTCAAGCAACTTAACATACTGGTTGATCTTCTTGCTCGATCTGGAAAACTGGATGACGCAAGAGAACTTCTTCAGAAAATACCAAAGCCTTCTGCACCGGTTGTTGCTTCGGTTCTCGGGGCTTCCGAGTGTTATTCAAATCTGAGTCTTGGTGAAGAAATGGGTAGGAAGCTCTTAGAGTTGGAGCCAGACAGTCCTATACCGTTGGTCATCTTGTCCAACCTATATGCTAGTTTAGGGAAGTGGAATGAAGTTGAAACAATCAGACGGATAATAGATGAAAAAGGACTAAAGAAACTGGCTGGCTATAGCTCGATCGACATTGCCTAAAAATATGAAATTCTAAAATGTACATAAATTGACTGGATCAACAGTAGGAAAGACCATTCTGCAGCCGTGCACCCAAGGTGGAAAAATTGAAAGTTGGAGAGCAGAATTGATTTTTTTAATGGAAAGTGACAATGGTGCTATTGCCTATTGGGCTCAAGTCAGGCTTAAAAACTCTATGGTTTTGAATTTGGGCCTGGTGTCAGATCAGGTATCTTATTCAAAGCCCAAAAGGATCATACACTGTCCATTTACTTGTCTTTCTGCCTCAGTCAATTGTAGTACAACAAGATTGGCTACGATGTGCTGTAGTACAAATGTACAATATTGTACTTTTATTATAAGCCAAGTTGTACAAGTATAATGTACAATATCCTTATTTTTTGTACTGAAGTTATAGACTTGTTGTAGTACAGAAACTTAAGATAAGCATTGCCTCTCTTGGAACCTATATAACAGATAGATGCACACATAACTTGAAGTAGTACTTGTGTAGCTAAGTTTCTGGTTGCCTTTTGTATTAATGTGGAATGGTTCAACAGGGTCGGCATGAGAACACATGCATTTGAGAAGTGGTCATTGAATTTAATCGATGCCATCGCATTTGTATCGTCGAGCATGTGTTCTCAGGTCGCCCCTGTAGAACTATATTTTACTATGCTATTTTGACCGCTTCTGTCGTCCTTGACGTTCCTATCTCCCCACCATACCCACCATATATGACACAGGATCCTGCCAATCTATTTATCTTTTATACCAAATGCCTTACTATTTTGTTGATTTTTCCCAAGTTGATTTTGCTGCAATATAAGTATGTTCTAGCCATTTAATGTCTTTTGAATTGTGTATAGTAATTACAAAGCAAGAGATAAGATATAATGCTGCGGAAAGAATAAGAAAAAGATTTTAAAAAGTCATTTATGCTATTTAATTGATACGGAGTACTAAAATGAAAAAACGATGGTTTCTACGGAGTAATTTTTAAGTTTTCTTTTAACTTCTGTAGTCGATGTTTAAAACTTCGTGCTGATTGTGCAAAAACTTTATTACTTTCTATTATAGCACTAGAATAATTCATTATAGACCTTGCTATCATATACGGAGTAAATGTTAATAATATTAAAAATACACATTAAGATCGTAAAAGTCAAAATAGAAACTACTCCCCCCGGTCTCGTTAAGAATTTCCTACTTTGACTTACACACATATTTAGGAAATAAATTTGATTTTACTGTAGAGTACACTGTTTCGACACTGTTTTGCACTGTTTGACACTTTTTGATGTAGGATAATTTTTCATTTAGGGAAATGAGAAGATCATTTTGGGATGGCTAAAAAAGGAAAGCAGAAAGATCTTAGAGGGACGAAGGGAGTATAAGGGAGTGTTGCAATTGCTTCAACTTTAAAAAAGTGGTTTTTTAAAGTGATTTGGGGAAAAGTGATTAATAGTAAAAGTTGGTAGTGTTTGAGGAAAAAGTGATTCTTAAAAAGTAAAGGTTAGTAGTGTTTGGTAAAATAAGTACTTTTTGTGTAATAGAAAAAGTGAAAAGCAGTTTAAAGCACTCTTCCACCTGCTTCCAGCTTTTAGCTTTTAAGTGATTAATTTAAGCAAAAGCTGTCATTTGAAAACACTTTTTTTAACTTTTTTTAAGCCAAAAGCTGGAAAGTGCTTTTTTAATCAACTACAAACACTCCTTAAATATAGTGGAGGGTAAAACAAAAAAAATCATGAATGAAATTAAACAGGATCAATTAAACATAAACAGTGGAATGTTTTTTTTTTGCATAATTCTCATGTTAAAAATATGGAGTAAAATATAAACTCACAATTCATTCAACTTCGGATGTGAATTTAACAAGTCAAAAGTCAAAACTATTCCTTCTAGAACATTAGTGCAATTGAGCCAATTAACCTTGATTTTGCACCCATGACATTTTTTTGGCTGTACTTTCCTCTTTTCTTATTAAAAATATGGAGTAGTATACTTCCTCCGTTCTCTTTTAATTGCAACAGTCAACATTTTACGTTTACCAACGCACAAGTTTGACCATTAATATCTTTCATTCCTTATTAGTAAAAAATTCAGAAAAATGAAAATTTAGAATGAGAAGAATTTAATAATATTTTTAAAAAAATTAATTTATAATACATTAATGAATAAAATATAGTCAAAGTAGAATATGTGAATAGTGCAAAAAGTCCAATGTTGCGATTAAAAGAGAACGGAGGACAGTATATTCTTTTAAATGTAAATTTCCTTTATTCGATAATTTTGAATTTATGACCTCTTTCTTGAGAGTGTCACAGTGATACAAACAACAGTTTTTCGTCATATGTTAACTAAATTTTCTTCCCAAATAAATCATGTATCCTCTTTAGATTTTAATTGTGATTCCTGTCAATGTAATAAAAGTCATAAACTTCCATTTCATGAGTCTTCCATAAAGTCATCCAACCCCTTAGAAATTATTTTTTCTAATGTTTGGACCTCCCCTGTTATCTCGTTTGATCAATTTAAATAATATGTCATTTTCATTGATCACTTTACCAAATATATTTGGTTTTATCCCTTAAAACGCAAGTCTGATGTTCGTACCATTTTTCCGGTTTTTCGTTCACTAGTGGAAAATAAATTTGGACTCAAAATTAAGACATTTTTTTTGACAATGGTGGAGAATTCAAAGCCCTTACACCCTATCTCACTCAAACTGGTATTTCCCACCTTACATCGCCCCCACATACTCCCGAACACAATGGTTATGCCGAACGTCGCCACCGCCACATTATTGAAACTGGTCTCACCCTCCTACATCAAGCATCCCTACCACCCACCTACTGGTCCTACGCCCTACCCACAGTGGTCTATCTAATTAACCGTCTTCCCACACCTACACTTAATTACTCCTCTCCCTATGAATATCTTTTTCATTCTCCTCCGAATTACCAAAAACTCCGAATTTTTGGATGTCTATGTTATCCATGGATTCGGCCCTATACCCAACACAAACTTCAATCCCGTTCTATTCAGTGTATTTTTCTGGGTTATTCACTCAGTCAAAGCGCGTATTTTTTGCCTTGACCCCACTACCTCCCGAATATACGTCTCCCGTCATGTTATTTTTGTTGAACATATTTTTCCATACACTAATCTTACCCATCCCACCACCCTGCCCGACCCCACTACCCCTGGCTTGTTCCTCATCAATTTTTCAATTCAAATCCCCACATTCTTCGCCCAAATTTCTCTAATCCATCCCAACTCCCTCGGTCAACACCCAACCCCCTACCTTTATCTCCTGCCACTTCTCCAGTTATTATCTCCTCCCAAATAATATCCCCTCCAAATATATCTCCTACTAATAATATATCACCCACTAACCGCTCTTCTACACAAATCCCTCTAACCCAATCCCACCCTATCCCAACAACCTGCCAATGCACACCAAACTCCATACCGCCCCAGTCGGCAACATTAACTCCCCCATCCCATAACACTAATCATATTCCACTCTCCACCACGTCAGACAAATCACTTATTCCCATGCACGAGTCCAATTTTTTGCATGACACTAATGAACAGTCTACGTCTCCCTCCCCCATACAAACAACCCAGTCTTCTCCTTCACCTCCACCTCGTCGAGTCACCCGCTCCATGAATAATATTTATTGCCCAGTTACTAAATACAACCTTAATTCTAGTGTGTCTACCTCCTCTCCTGAACCCCGTACTGTTACATAAGCTCTAGCCAATTCCAACTGGCGGCAAGCCATGTCCGAAGAGTTTAATGCTCTTATAAAAAATGGTACTTGGACGTTGGTTCCTCGTACTGGCAGAGAAAATATAGTTGGCTGCAAATGGGTATTTCTTGTTAAACGACTCCCAAATGGTGCTATTGACCGGTATAAGGCTCGGCTTGTAGCCAAGGGATTTCATCAACGCCCCGGCATTGACTATACGGAAACTTTCAGTCCAGTTATTAAACCGACAACTATCCGGCTAGTCCTATCTCTCGCGGTTAGTCGTGGGTGGCCGCTTCGCCAAATTGACGTTAACAATGCTTTTTTGCAGGGCCATCTTTATGATTATGTGTTTATGCTTCAACCTCCAGGCTTTGTTGATTCCACCAAACCCACTCATATTTGTCGTCTTCACAAAGCACTATATGGTCTTAAGCAGGTGCCCCGGGCGTGGTATCAAGAACTCAAGCAATTCCTTATTCAACTGGGCTTTACAAACTCCAAGGCGGATACTTCTCTGTTTGTTTATCATCAAGATACTACTCTCATTTATATTCTTGTTTATGTTGATGATATAGTTATCACCGGCAGCTCCTCAGATTTTATTGAAGCTCTCATCACTACACTTGGGCACCGGTTCTCTCTCAAAGATGTTGGTCAATTATCTTATTTTCTTGGTATTGAGGTTATTCCCCATCCGAGTGGGATTCTTCTCTCTCAACATCGCTATATCATGGACCTACTGTCTCGGTCGAAAATGGCCACCTGCAATGGTGTGACCACACCTCTTGCCGCCAACTCTAAACTCAGCCTTACAGATGGCCAGCCGCTTGAAGACCCAGAAGAATACCGCTCCGTTGTTGGTAGCCTCCAGTATCTAGCTCTCACTCGGCCAGATCTCTCGTATGTTGTGAATAAGTTGTCCCAGTTTCTTCACTGCCCTACCACTACACACCGGGAAGCTACAAAAAGGGTACTTCGTTACCTTCGCCACACAGCCACTCATGGTCTTCTGCTACGGCACTCTTCTCCTCTATCCCTGCATGCATATTCAGATGCGGACTGGGCCGGGAATCCTGATGACTACACTTCCACCGGAGCTTTTGTCATATTTTTGGGTTCAAATGCTATTTCTTGGAGCTCCCGGAAGCAACGCACGGTTGCTCGCTCTTCTACCGAGGCAGAATACCGTTCTGTTGCTACTACCGCTGCTGAACTTCGATGGATACTCTCGCTTCTCACTGAATTACATGTTGCTATTCCTACTCAGCCGGCTATCTACTGTGACAACGTTGGTGCCACTCATCTCTGTGCCAACCCTGTGTTTCACTCTCGTATGAAACATCTTGCTCTTGACTATCACTTCATTCGTGAACATGTTCAACATGGTATTCTTCGTGTCTCTCATGTCCGATCCTAAGATCAACTTGCTGATTCACTCACTAAGCCTCTTCCCCGGCGTCGATTTCATGATCTTCATCTCAAGCTTGGAGTTCTTCCCAGACCCTCCAACTTGCGGGGGCATATCGGAGATAAATCATAAATAATATTTATCTTATGTAATTATATTTAACTAAATGTCAATATTATCCCATACAGTTAGTTGCACATAATCTCCTCATTGTACTCCTATATAAACCCTTGTATATTTGAATTGTAAAATGTAAATACAATTCATTCTTCCTATAATCACTACAGGTACAATATTTTGAGATTTATTCATAAAAGTCGATAAATTAATTAGAATCATTTTAAATCGATCAATGGCCGAAATGAACTAATGGTATATTGGTATACTTTCATTGTTTTTAATGGTATATTGGTATACTCTCATTGTTTTTTTAATGAAATGAATTCAGCAAGAACCAATATAATTATCCAAAACAAAATTAATCGTGTACACGTTTTGTGTGTACACACTCTACAACATAATTTAAACACTCTCTACGGTGTTCAAATAAAATTTGGATGACACAAAACATATTTTGGGCGAATTATATATCTGTTCACTAACAAAATGTAGAAATTTGAACATATACAAGCGCACAAGGAGTTCTCCTTATCCAAAATAATCTCGGATACTTATAAAATTCATAAAAATAAAGTAAAATATCGGGTGTGTGGCTCATTTGGATGAAAACTCACAAAAATCTCTTTATTGAAAGATCTATAATTTAAATTCTACAATTAAGAATGTTTTTACTTGTTATATCAGATCAAAGCAGAACAAGTTATATCAAATCAGACCGAATCACGCTATGTCCGAAATGAGTTAGACTTGGTGTACACATTTTTTTCGTATACACATGTCATATGTAAAAGTGTGTATATAAAAGAGTGCATAGCTTTAGAATTTTTCTTCCCAAATTTCCTTATTGGAAGTCACTATAGTCTAAGGTTGATTGTAGTAAAACCCGAATTTACAGGGATTTTGGACAAGTAAAACCCGAAGTATTACGCATGGCGCAATCGACCAACTATGCAGATCAGAATTGGATAAGAAGACTGTGCGAGTTCTCATATCCACAAGCTTTAAAATTAAAAATCTAATTTTGAAGTTACATCTTCTTCGGTCCATTGTTCCCTCCCTCTCTCAAACCCGAAGAAAATGAATTTATATATGTCTTCAATGTCCTCTTTCAATTTCCGAGCGCTGGTTTCTTTTCAACCCCATTGGAAGCACAGTAACAACTTCCATTACTGCGTATTACCCCACCCCAAGAAAAAGCGTGCTGGGTTTTCTTCTTTCAGCCATGATGAAGATTCTCCTTCTCCCACAAAACAAAACCAGGTAATATTTGAAAATGTTCATTTCCGTGAGTTCAGAAGGTCTTTAATGGCATTCTTGAACAATGTGACTGAAAAGGACTGATCTTTGAGGACCTTTTTGAGTTTTTACAGATTGGTGATGATCCTTCTGCTGAGCTATTTGGAATTGAACCTGATTTGCAACCAAGGTATTTGATGGTTGGTCTTCCTTAATTGATAGTTGTGAGTTCCTAAATGCGTTCTTGAGTTTAGTTTGGATGGCACATTTACATGCATATTTGCAATTTGTAGAATGGTATTGAACATACGCTGCTTGATACTCCGTATTTTCTTAAGAGAATGTATGTGATCAACTGATCAACCTTTTATTCAAAGGACAAAAAATTTAAACCTTTAATCCAAAGGTTTATTCAACTTCCATTAACATTACAATCGCAAATATGATCACCCTTTATTCCAATGGAGGAAAAAGTGCTTCTATATTTCTGAAGACTTCAAGATTTATTTAAATGCAATAAGCATTACAGGCCCATTTCTTTTAGCTTCTAACGCAGTTGAGAATACTATTCAAGCAGCGGCGGATGCAGGAATTCCGGCTAGGAGGGGCGGCAGGGTAAAAATATAAATACAAATACATATATATTAAAATTTCGGGGTAATTATTAATAGAAAAATAAAATTTTGGGGGGACAACAGCCCCCATTTGCCCCCATGTTCGGTACTTCGGCCCGCCACTGTATTCAAGTATTCATACTCATTATAAGGCATCAAGGAAGCTATCTGCGTTTAGTTAGTTTTGAAAAGGTCATAACTTTGTATTAGTCCTTGGGAAGGATTTTTTTTTGATCATTTGGGAAGGAATATTTTAGAATTACAAAAACTACAAGGTAAAGTATATCTTGCTGAGTTAGTTCATCTTATCACTTTTTATTTTTTATTTATTCAGAAGAGTTCCTTCAAAACTAAGATCATGGTTTGGCCCAAATGGGCAATACATCAGAGAGTTTCCATGCCCAAGCTGCAGAGGAAGGGGATATACTCCATGCACTGAATGTGGTTTAGAGAGATCTAGGCAGGACTGTTTACTATGCCAGGGAAAGGTAGTGGTTTGTCTACTGCATATTCTGTATGAAATCTTAAGAATCATCTCCAAAATATTAAACAAAGATATCTCACTTTGTCTCAAATTAATGTTCCCAGACAGGGTTCTTACATTCAACTTGTCTCTCTTTTGATCTCTGATTTTATATACACAGTAACATTTTTTTTTTCATATTTGAATTCCTTTTTGCGAATCGATAAAACTTTTACCGTACTTTTTGAATATGTAAATTCTAACTATTAAGACTTATATGTGTGTGTATGTATGTATATATATACTTAAAGAAGAGTTAAATTGATACACTGAAATTGTGAATATTGTGGGATGGAGGGAGTATATGTTGTACAATTAAGTCCAATCTTTTAGTGTGGTGTAACCAATGTTCTAAAAGGCGCTAGGCCCTAGTCGGGCGCCAGCCCAGCGCCTAGGCAGCACTAATCGGATACACAAATTGTATTTTTATCAATACTTTTGCATTAATAGATATGTAATACAAAGTAAAACAGTAGTATTGTGTTTGTGTGTGTGGAAAATATACACACACATTAACATGCATGAATGAGATTTTTTGACATTTAATAATACTACTTCCGTCCCAAATTGATTTGCAAATTTCACTTTTCTTGGTCAAACAGTTTCATTTTATTCACTTAAGTAGGATGTCAATTTTTAATTATATTCTAATTTGAAGTTTACAACTTTGAAGAGATTTTAATGTAGTTTCTGAATATATAAATTTTAATTATTAAAAATTAAATTAATTATCAATACGGAGCATTGACTTTTATTATTAGTTGACCAAAAAATGTTGACTTTGCAAAACAATTTGGGACGGAGGGAGTATATAATAACTAATCACCTAACTGCACTATGTTATAAATATTATATAATAATAGGCACCCTAGGTGGCGATTAGGTGCTCTAGGCGGGTAACTAGGCAGCCGACTAATTCACCTAGGCGTCAAACCAATTATTCGGGACGCCTAGACAAAAATATGGGTGCCCGGCCACCGCCTAGCGCCTAGGCAGGGACTAGTCGGGCGCCTAGAGCAATTCTTAGAATAGTGGGTGTGACCCATGTTAACTATGACCCAATTAAGTAACCCATGCTCTATTGTGAGTGCTAGGTATCATAGGTGCTAATAAGAACCTATGCAGTTGGTTTCACAGCTTTTAGTTTTGAGCCTTATGGTAAATTTATGGATCTCAATTCATCTCAGGGTTTAACTACTTGTCTTCAGTGCTTTGGGGATTGCGTTATTTGGGAAGAGTCTATTGATGAAAAACCATGGGAGAATGCTCAATCTCTGTAAGTTGTTCTTGCTCCAAATTCTAAGCTGATTTCATTCAAATGTATAGTTTCTCGCTTTAGCATTTTCAAGTATTGAAATTTTTATAGGCTTAAATATGTTTTTGTCCCAGCAAATGTAGTTTTTTAAGTCATGTAAAATGCTAAAATTTACAAAGGGGCAAAAAGTAAATTTCAGTGGAGGTAGACAGAGTTAGACAAACAAAGGAAAAAGGCCTAAATTTCAGGACAAATAAAAAAATGTTATTTTTGAACGGGAAAAAAATAAATTCAAGCCTTTTCAGTATTTCCAATGCTACATTTTCTTTTTGTATTAAGTGACATATTTTTGTTTTCTGAATTGTTCTCTATCTAGTAGCCATGGACTAGAACATAACATATGTTCAGTTAAATAATGTCTAATAATATAATCCTCTTTCTTCTTCAATGTCTTCCCAACCATATAAATGGATGAATAAGTTAATGAAATAAGTCTCACCCTCCCATCCAAGATCCCCTTACCAAAACAAGGGCTTAATGTATATCATTGTCTTGCACTTTGATTTTTTTGCATGAATGATAACAATGTATGGAAATGCTTAACATGAGAAACTGTGTATATTCTCTTTTATTTGTTGTTGTAAAAGATGAGATGATCAAGAATAGAGTTTCTTGTGTCTTTGTTGCTAGATCTCCAATTAAGGTGAAACAGGACGATGAGGTGGATAAATTAGACATAAACCTAAGCGCAAAGAGGAAAACCAAACGCATTTACCAATCTCCAAGCCATGAAGTTAATTTGAAGATAAGCAGATCATTGAAAGTCAGTCAGTAAGCTTTTTTACTTTGATGAACTATGACATAGTCTTGCCTTTGGTCGCAATATTCTGTAATGGTTGATTTACTTTATCTTTACTTTTATAGCAAATTGGATGCGTATTTTTTTTCTTGTTTCTTAAGTTTGAATAATTTTTAGTTTCAGAAAACACTGTAGTGGTTAATTGGCATTTAATATATAATGCATGCTTAGATCCGCAAAAATTGAATGATTGCAGAGCCTGAATGCCAAAACTGGATTATTTAGTAAGAGGATGAAAATTATCCACGCTGATCCTTTACGTCATGCACAAAGAGTGGCTGCCATTAAGGTTCTATTATTCACCTCTAATTCATTCACCTCTAAATTATTCACCTCTAAACAAGCACAATTGCAAGTAGTGTCCATGTTCATTATAAGGTGTTGTTACTTGTTAGGCAACACTTCGTTTTTCTGTTTTTCGGTTTTTGTTTTTTAATTTTCAGAAAGAAGAATATAAGTTTGTAAGTAATGCTCATTAGAAAAAGAACACTGTCCGTCCCTTGTAATGGTTTTGACCAGGAAGGCTTCACGTGAACTGTTGATCGTGCTGATATTGTTGACTAAAATAGGATTTTATGCATGATCAACGGTCGCTGTCTTCTTCTTCATCATTACCCCAGTGCTGCAAAGGCTCTCACCTACAATGGGGTAAGGGGGGTCGGGTGTACGCAGCC